AACAGTGCCCACTTGATTGAGTCTGCATTGAATAAGTTCTTTCCAGCTGTCCAATCTGAGCGATCTGGCTTATGTGCGACCATTGGTGGAATTCGGTTGTCCCGAATAGTCTACGGAAAGTGAGCAAACAAGAGGGCCATTGCCATCTGCGTTGATCGGATAGGTCCCATCAAATATTTTTATGGTCAATGCTGTGTCAGTCTTACCTCTGGCCAGAGCCTTGTGCAGTCTGGCTGCCTCTGGGGTTGAGGAGACGTTTAAACAGAATTTCCTGAAACTATTGGTTTTTGCAGACCTAATTTTATTATTATAAGTGGTTAGGTCCTGCTTATATTCTTCCCAGTTGACAGTTCTTTTGACTTTGTTGAAAGGGGAGGGTGGGGTGGACCGAGGTCTCTCACATGAGAGATTCCAGATTACCTTGCTTGTTTTTCTATTGATTCCCATGACATCCACTCTATAGACCCACGGCTCCTGGATTAATAGGATACCCAGGTTATCCGAGAGGAACCTACTCGCGATAACAGCCTAGGCTTCCGTCGCGTGGTGTACACAAGATTCGTTCCAAGAGGGACTCTTCGCCATCGCTGTCCTCATTCTTGTCCTGCTGGTCCTGCCCCTTCAGCCCTTCTAGGAGCTCCTGTGTGGAGGGTAGCTCACCTTCACTCTCCGCAGCACTCTTGTTTAGGGCTCCCCCTGCGACAGCTGGGGTACCCTGCACGACAGTAGCAGTAGCAGCCTGCTCGAGTATGCCGGTGCCGGACTGAGTGGGCGCCTCATCCACCAGCATTGCCTCCTCCGCCGTCTCTTTCGCCGGTGTGGTTTTAGACCTCGAAGGTCTCATTACCACACTGCTGAACCTAAAGTTCAGCCTAAACCCTTATTTTCGGATGAATTTATGAAACTCATCATCAATAATGATGTTGAGCCTCCATCCGGCGTCCTCGATGCTGCTATCAACAACCCTCCAAGCCGAGGTACTGAGCCCCTCATTTTGATTTCGTATGAGACCAAGCGCAAACTCGTAGGGTTTTCTTGCGCTTCTGGGAAGAAACACTGTCATGCCATGCATAGGCGGTATATATTCATAACTCTTCGCGCATAGCACCGGGCCTCTCTATCCGCCTAGCTTCGGAGCGATCTCCGCAGGTGGCCGTCTTTTTGTCCTTCCAGTCGACAAGCAGCATTACTGATCTGAAGTATGCACCATGGAATGAGCCGGTTATAAACATCATACATGATGCTGCCTGGCAACGCAGTCATTTCTCCCGACCCCAAGACCTCCGCCGGGTAATTGCGAGACAGCACCGCCATCCGCTGCTTTCGAATATTTACGCTGGCGCCTAACAACTGGGTTGGGATTTGGAGCGGAACGTTGTCCTCCGATCACCGGTAGGGTTCTTAAGATGTTATCTGCTCGCACTTACGTTTCGCGGTTTGTCCTGTTACCGTCAGTGGTGCCGCCCTTTCGATTCCTCGATTCCCAGACGGGGTTGCAAGAACTCGGCTTTATCTCTGATTCCCGCGTCCAGCGATGGACGCGGCGTTTGCTCCTACGTATCTCTTTGCGGCCGGAGATGAGTTGTTGCCCCTGCTCCTGCTTGAAGAAGATCAATACTTCCTCCAGTGATTTTCCGTTCTGCAAGTGCCTGAGGTTCCATTTCAGAGTGTGCCACTCTCTCGCTCATGCCTCTCCTGGGTGGATCGTCTGAGTCACCCGGGCATCTCGCTGTTGGTTCTGGGGGCATTCTCCCCCTCATTTCGATTCCTCTTCCTCTTGTGTACACCTTCTGACCTGTCCCGTTTGGTGTCGTTTACCTCCGAGCAGCTGAGCCTGCTTGATGCGGTTATTACATATTGGCGGTGACAAACACAAAACTTTTATGTCCCTCATCTCGTTTTCTAGGCTGGTGTTAACTTCTTTAACCGTCCTTCTCTTCTTGGTGTTAATTCCATCCCGTTTCCGGATACTCAGTTTCTGGTACATCCTTTGACTTACAGCTGACTCAAGATTCCATTCTTCATCAAAACTTAACTCGATTTTAACACCGAATCTCGTTACCCACTCGTTGATGAATGCGTCCGCCACTGGTTTAGCTTCTTGATTAGAAATTTTGTATACTTCTGGCCATTCGTTGAAAGGGTCCTTTACTACCAAAACATGATGTTTTCCTAATTTATTGGTGGGAAATGGACCATATTCTTCCACGCCAATTTACGCACCCGAATTGTACTGTTTTATCTGGCCATGACTCCTGGACCTTGACCCTTCAGCTAAAAAGAACTTATTGCATATTTGGCAATCCTTTTCATAGCTGATTGACGACAACCAGTCCAATTAAACTTTACTTCAATTTTTCTAAGGTTTTCGTGATTCTCAAGTGCCGTTCTCTTGGACCTTTGTACTGCACATTAAGAATTTCAGGAATTCTAAACTTTGGAACAACTATAAGTACTCGGGAGGTTTGTACATTTTCGCTTCTCCATACTCGATGCAAGCAACCACACACTACTTTAAACTGTTTCGCTCTGCCCAATATGCTATTGCAACTGGCCTTCCTGTAGTTATTTCTCCACTCGTTGTACGTTTGATCCTTTGTACTACATGCTTTGCACCTTGCAATTCCAGACCTTCTTGCAAAGAGTCATCCGTTTCAGCTTTAATTTTATCCTGCTCTTCCACTTGTGAGAACACCTGTGCTGGTATAACCGCTTCGTGCTCTCCAAATTGTGAGCACCCTTTTACTGGTTCAAATGGTTCATGATCTTCCTACTGTGGGAACATTTGCGTTGATATACGCACGTGCAGCTACACGCTTCCTGCTCTTCCTACTGTAGGAACACTTGTGCTGACATACGTGCATCTTTCACCGTGAATCTCTCTTCCAACAGCTTTGATAACATCTGTGATATAAGTGCATTTTGGGCTGCAAACTGCTATTTAAACTGTGTCGATATTTGCGTTGACGTCTCCGTTGATATCTCGATGACATCTGGGACATTGCAGGAAAAATCATATCTATGTCCATAGTGTTTGATGAGCGCGTCTCTTCCTTTTCTTTTATCTTTGCTGTCTCTTCCTCTAATTCCAACTGAAAGACATATTCCTCAACAGTAATATTTTCCGCCTGCATGGCCAACAGTGATTGTAATTAAATTTTTACTCCATTTGTCGCCAAACCACGTTGCTCCAGCTGCTTTTTCAGTTGTGGAATCTTCAGATTGCTAAACTTGGCCATTTTCAAATATTTATCTCCTTGGGAATTTATTTGACAAAAATTTTCGATATATATATCTACCTTACCCTTGAGTTCGATCACTGGATTGTTAAATAAAGGCTCATTTTAATAACTATACACTTATCTCTTGTGTACGATCACTTGATTGTTAAATAAAGGCCCAATTTAATGCTATACACTTATCTTTACTTCTAATTCCAACAACTTCACACTTATTGCTCGTTATTCTAGCTTACAACTCCTTGTTTACGTCTCAATTGATCTTAACACGACATCACTCTAACTAGAACTGTGTGTCCTTAATAAAATCTCGCTTTTAGAACATTCTGGCAACTACGAATTCGCTGTCTAGTTGCTTCTGGCTATTTATCGTCGGTTTAATTTTGTTCTTCATCCATGTTCGTTACAATATGTATATATTATATATTGTATATATATGTACATGCACATGCATCGAGTTGTACAATTAAAAACAAAAGTACGTGAGGCACTCGTCGAATGCCGCGATAAAGCTATTGTATAACATTTTTTTATCAAGTTATGCAATTATAATTATTTATTTATTTTTTATGCATTTTTTTTCTTTGATATTAATTCGAGTTTTTTCTTTCATAATAATTTAAGTTATAGTTTTTTTTATATAATTTTTTTAGTGAATAAATGAGAAGTTAATATTGTTGAAAATATTTTTATTATCTTACAATGCATGTAGATCTATATATCTGGAAAATACCGCGTCAATGGTGGTCCCATATTTTGTTGTGGATTCTTGTGGCCTATTATTCATTTTCAAATTAAGTTTTCCCGAAAAAAAAGTTGTCAATCGCACTGATATTTTATCAGCGAATTTGATGTTGAAATCGCCAGCCAAGATAAGTGGAAATTTATTACAATTGATAATCCAATTGAAATACCTAATTATTGTTGAAGTCAAACGAGATACTGTTCCGAAAGGTTGGGTAGTTATTTACCAAAATATTGTAATAATAATAATACTAATATTATGACTCCGAATATCGAAATTTATTTTATATTAATTAATATTTTATTAAATTCTATATTTTTATTTGCCTTTAAAATATTGTATCTTAAATGTTCTTATTTGCAAATCACCCTGATTCTTCCGCTCTTTAATTTATTTATTCCGCTTGAGATATGCGAAAATACGCCTATAACTATGCAATCATTTTGCGCAAACTTTCTGTTACGGAATTTCTTTATTCGGTCGATGCGCTCAAAGCTTGCGATAAGCTATGCAATAGTTTAAAAATGCCATGTCGTACCACAATATATACAAGTATACACATATACATATACATTTAGTTACTTAAGATAGAATTAAAATTGTATATAAAGTCAAGATATACAATAATAAACATAGAATGAAATAATTTTTTACTCAATGAAGATCTTTATTATCGTCGATCCGATTTTGTCTATCATCCGTGTTCGTCACAGTATAATCCAACAAGTAACAAAAGAATAACCCGTATCCTATGAGTGTAATACAGCTGAGATCACCTGATCGATATCTGCCTTTTTTTAAAAAGAGATTTAAATAAAGAAATGCAGTTTGATAATTTTTTTGTGAACAGGTATTTGTAATGGAAAACATTAATGAAAACTTACAAAAATATTTTTAAACAAAAGTTTATTATTATACATATTTATGGTTTTTCCTCACCACCTCTGAGGATGCAATATAGGCGCGTTATCGATCTGTTTTGAGTATGTGGTTCCCCAGGAAGCCTATATATATAATATTTTAGCGAACACGATTACCAGAACAAATCAGAATCGACGATAAACTGCCAGAAGCAACTAGACAGAATTTTCTAGTAGCGAACTTGTGTTAAAAATTTACTATATAAGGGCTGCCGGATTGTGTAGCAGACACAGTTCTAATTAGAGTGTTGCCGTATAAAAAGCAATTAAGCTATAAGCAATAAGTTGTAAACTCGAATATCGAGCAATAAGTGTTAAGTTGTTGGCATTAGAAATAAAGATAAGTGTATAGCCATTAAATTGGGACTTTAATTTAACAATACAGTGATCGAACTCAACAGTGAGTTACAGGTAGACGATTTATCGAGAAATCCGTTACAATTGGTGTCAGAAGTGGGATTGTCAAATAAATTCCCAAGGAGATAATTATTTGAAAATGGCCAAATTTAACAATCTGAAGATTCCACAACTAAAAAAGGAGCTGGAGCAACGTGGTTTGGCGACAAATGGATTAAAAACTGAATTACAATCAGCCATGGAGGCGGAAAACATTAATGTTGAGGAATATGTCTTTCACATGGAATTAGAGGAAAAGACAACAAAGATAGAAGAAAAGGAAGAGGCTCAATGCTCGTCAAAGAATGCTGGACATAAACGCAAATATCAACGCAAATGTCGCATTTAGAATCGCGGTTGTCAACGCAGTTGGAAGAGCAGTTCGCAACGCAAGATGCACGTATATCGGCACAGGTGTCCTCACAGTTGGAAGAACAGTTCGCTGCGCAAGATGCAAGTATATCAGCACAGGTGTCCTCACAGTTGGAAGAGTAGGATTCACGGATATCGCAGGTGGTCTCACAAATAGCAGAAGTGTCTTCACAGATTTCGGAAGAGCGGGATAGAATTAAAACTGAAGTGGATGAATTAAAAGATCATCCTTTGATGGCACTATTCCGTTCCATGTTTTTAAGCTTCAATTCGAAAAGACGGTATCTTCAAATAGTTGGAACGCTGAAGATAAATTAGCTGCATTGTTCGGTGCATTAAAAGGATCTGCAGCGGAGATATTACAGACCATTCCCAACTGTGAGGCGAGTAGTTATTAAACGTTGATAGGTGCATTAGAAAGACGGTATGGTAGTGAGCACAGGAAGCAGATATTTAAAATGGAGTGTTAAAATCGCCGCCAGAAAGCCAATGAGTCGTTGCAGGAGTTTGCTACAGAAATTGAGAGGTTAGCTCACTTAGCTTATGCACATAAATACCTGGAATATATCGAGGACACGAAAATTCAGACTTTCGTCAATGGAATACGAGATAACACTACACGCTTCCCTGCATTAACATGTCCAAAATTGACGTTTCCAGAAACCGTTTCGTATGTTCTGACACAGGAAACTGCATCTCTGCTTTGCAATCAAACATTTAAAGCTCACAAAGCAGAAATAGAGGAACACACTTGGGTGAACCAATTACTTAAAAAATTTACAACATGCAGAAAGCACTGGAAACATATACGGAAGCGCATAAGAAAAATAATGGTGTGCTTAAATGCTTCAACTGCGGAAAAGTGGCCATATTGCACGCAACTGTAACCAGCCCAATAATCCAGTTGGACGTAAACGCAAAGTTAGTAGTCGCGGAAATGCTGATGCCATGTCCCGCCGTCCCTGTAATCTGGAATGCAGGCATTGCTCAAAAACTGAGGCCAAAGAAGACAGACATAGAAGTCCGATTAATGACTATAACATCGGACTGGGATCCGGAGAAGCTACGGAAATGTCAGCAAGACGATCCAGATTTGAAAAGTGTAATACATGGATTGGAGATGAATAAACTTCCAACGAGAGAAGAAATAGCTGCAGAAAGCCCAGTCGCAAAGGCTTATTGGGCACAATGGAATAGTTTGAAGTTAGTGTCTGGCTGCTTGCATCGCGTATGGGAAAGCGAAGATGGGCGAAGCTCACGAGCTCTGATGATTGTTCCAAAAGTAAGAATTCCTGAAGTTCTCAACGAGCTGCACAACGGTCCAAGTGGATAACACATGGGTATCAATAAAACCTTGGAGAAATTAAAACAAAGTTTTAATTGGGTTGGTTGTCGTCAATCAGTTACGGAGTGGATCGCCAATTGTGTCGAGTGCATTGCTGCGAAAGGGCCGCGATCCAGGAGTCATGGTCAGATGTAGCAGTAGAATTCAGGTGCGCCGTTTGAGCGAGTAGCCATGGATGTAGCTGGTCCATTTCGTATCAGTAAATTAGGAAACAGATATGTTTTGGTAGCCATGGACTATTTTAGCAAATGGCCAGAGATATACGCAATTCCTAACCAAGAGGCATAAACAGTAGCGGATGTATTCATCAACAATTGGGTATCGAGATATGGTGTTCCAATAGAATTACATTCTGACCAAGGGAGAAATTCTGAATCAGCTTTAATACAGGAGATATGCCAGAAGCTGGGTATTCGGAAAACCCGTACAACTGCACTCCATCCGCAGTTTGATGGCATGGTAGAACAATTCAATCGAACTTTGGAAGAACATTTGAGGAAAGTTGTGGACAAGTATCAAAAAGATTGGGATACCCATATATCCTTGTTCCTGATGGCTTATCGGTCTGCTGAACATGAAATAACGGGGCAGACTCCAGCAAGGGTAATTTTTGGTAATGATCTTCGACTACCAATTGATTTAAAATTTGGAATTAACGCCAACGGAGGAAGGAATACTTAGCAATTCAATAGCATCCTAGAAGACGAGATGAGGGATATACATGCTATGGTGAGACAGCGCACCAAAATTATGGGCGATAGGATGAATGAAAAATACGACAAGGCAATAAACTCAGACGGTTTTATTGAAGGCGATTGGGTATTGCTATATCTCCCAAATTACAGTGTAATTGATGTAGTATATCGCATACACACCACTGGAAGACTAAGGAATAAAATGAAGGTGGTTCATCTGGAACGGCTTGCAACGTTTGGTACCGCAAATATGTCTAATCGGGACGATCAGACTTAGGCAGTGTGGCGAACACGAATACCAGAACAAATCCGAATCGGCGAAAACCTGCCAGAAGCAACTAGACAGCGAATTCGTAGTTGCCAGAATGTTCTAGTAGCGAACTTGTGTTAAAAATTTACTATATAAGGGCTGCCAGACTGTCCACCAGTCACAGTTCTAATTAGAGTGTTGCCGTGTAAAAATCAATTAAGCTATAAGCAATAAGTTGTACTCAAGAGTGAGATACAGGTAGCCGATTTGCCGAGAAATCCGTTACAATATATAGAGTTCTAAATGAATCTACTTTTCGTAACAAATATAGGAAAAATTATATATATATATACTCAGGTTCACTTCATGGATAGTATTGTAATTACATTAACAATATAAGTCGAAATAATCACTTAAAACAAAAATCAAAATGAATGTATAAAACCAGGTACACTTCAGTTGTATTCATTAACATGACAAAACAATCTTCTTGTATTACAATAATTTCAACAAAAACCAAAATATATATAAACAAGTAAGAAAGGGCTAAGTTTGGATGTAACCGAACATTTTATACTCTCGAAAATTTAAATAGTATACTCCTTTGAGATTAGTATACTACTTAGGAGCTTGAACAGTTTTGGTTCGATTTAGACAATTTTTGGCCACAAGGTGTCATACTTCAAACGCATTATTCACGCAAAGTTTTATCCCGATACAATCATTTTTGCTTGATATGCATAGTGGAAAGTGACAGAATCAGATGGAATTGAAAATGGTGTTATATGGGAAGTAGGCGTGGTTGTAGTCCGATTTCGCCCATTTTCGCACTATGACATAGAAATATGAAAAGAACGTTATGCACCGAATTTGGTTGAAATCGGTTTAAAAGATCTCAAGATATGGGTTTTCACCTAAAAGTGGGCTGTCCAAAGCCCACTGTCTAATTTTGAACGCGCTTCCTATAAAGTCATCTCATACCATCCCAGAGATAAAATTTAATGGCTCTGGCGTGTTTAGTGCTTGATTTATCGCGCTTTTAGTAGTTTTTAACAGTACCGTTATATGAGGAGTGGGCGGAGTTGCCACCAGATTTCAACTATTTTCACACCGTCGATAGAAGTGCTAAAAACATTTGCTACCAGTGAATTTTGTTATTATAGCATTAGCGGTTTAGGAGATATGCACATTAAACCTATTAGAGGCGGGACCACGCCTACTTTAAAAAAAAAAGTTTAACTGCAGATGCCCCTCCTTAATGTGATCCTGTGTACCAAATAACAGTCTTGTATCTTATTGCGGAGCTTAGTTACGGCAATTTATTTGTTTTTGATTAATGACGTTTTGTGGGCGTGGCAGTGGTCCGATTACGCCCGTCTGCAATACCAACCGTCTCACGGTATCAAGAAACACGTGTACCAAGTTTCATTAAGATATCTCAATTTTTACTCAAGTTAGAGCTAGCACGGACGGACAGACGGACAGTCACCCGGATTTCAACTCGTCTCTTCATCCTGATCAGTTATATAAACATAACCCTATATCTAACTCGATTAGTTTAAGGTGATACAAACAACCGTTAGGTGAACAAAACTATTATACTCTGTAGCAACAGGTTGCGAGAGTATAAAAATAGGGTAGAAGTCATGAACAACAATATTATTAAACCAAAAAATGTACTAATTAGTAAGTAATATATACAAAAGATTCTAAATCAGTCACAGCGATATTCTTATTAAATGTAAATTTAATCTTTAGGAATTTTAATAATCGAAAAATATTTGAACATGTAATCAAAACATTCTTAAAGTTATAAATTTTAAAACATAAAACGGCAACAAACTGTAGTAAATTTGAGGCGTTTGGATGCTTTAGTAGTAGAATATTAGTAGGTAATCCTTTATTAGTATAATATTTGAGGAACCCGTACCAAGTGGGACATTTTTGCGAGTGGATTAGTGAATATCTTAGGATTGGTTACTTGTAAATTTATACAATGGTCGTTGTTCAAACAAACTGTCTCCAAACTTTTTGTAAAGTAGCAACGCTGCAGCTGTGCTTGTGACATTTTTGCTTCAATTGTTGGCGCCAATAGATTTATTCAATAATTTCGCCGGAGTTAAGCAATGGATAAATATATTACAAGGAAAGTAGGTAACGAAAGGTGATAAATCAACCAATAGTCTAGGAACTGAATGCAATAGTTTGCATCACAATGGTGCAATATATTCTGATAAATGCATAGAATTGAAGAGCAACGACGAGGGGGGAATTAAGCATACGAAGGGATTCTCTAAAGTTTGAACATTTGATTTAAGTAATTAATATTCACCTACTTTTATGTGGGTTTTGTAAGATCTCAAGAAAAAATTAGGCCAAATGCATTTAATGCGGCAAAGAATACAAAACGAGTGGGAATACGAGTAACTTGCGTGATCATTTGATAAGATTTCATCGCGATTGCGACAACAATGAAGAGTCCTTGGACATTGATTATCCTAGTACTTCTGGCAGTCGTCAATCTAGCATAAGATCAGTTGCGTCATATTTCAGTAGAGCCATTGAATACGAAAAGAATTCAAAAAGTAAAAAAAAAACATCGAAGACGCTTTGTCGCGTTTAGTGACTAAGGGTTATCAACCTATAAACATAGTGTGTGGTGAAGAGTTCAAAAATTGTATCCACGATTTGTGTTGCCGTGTGCCAAAAGTTTAGTGTTGATATGCTGAAAAAACAATTCGACAGTACGTTAGTAAGTTCAAATTAAAATCCTTTCTATCGAATCTTGATCGTGTTAGTATTACATGAGACGCCTGCTCCTCCACTTCAAATGAGTCTTACGTTATCATCACTCGCCAATTTCTTGTAAATTTTGAACTAAAATCGTGTGTCCTGTCAACGAAAAAACTGAAAGATCCAACAAATTATAACGCAACAAATATACTTAGCTTATTTTATACAGAGGGTATTGAATGATTGGGAAATTATCCAAAAAGTTCGTGGTATAGTGACATAATGCCAGTGACAGATTAATGCTTGTACTCTACTGAAAAAACGCATATTGGTTGCTATGAGCATACACTAAACCTGGCGGTTCAAGATAGTTTGTTACGGAGGGAAGATCTTGCACATTTGCGGAAATAATGTTGAGACATTGTATCTTTTTTTAAATATAGTACAATAGCATACTGAATTTTTCATGAGTGTGTTCAAGTGCAGGAAATAGAAAACCTCTACAATTTGTTGCAGGAAGTTCAAACGAGGAGAAATAGCACATATTTTATGTTGAAATGGATTATAGCAAAATAAAATAATATGAATATTATTTAATCGTTTCACTTGTACACTAACCTTTTTGCACTTTAACGAAAAATGATACGGCGTATAAAAAGGGAACACGGGCGGAAACTTGCGGACGTCTGATCGGGGCGATTCGCTGATGAGAAAGAAGCTTTTTGGTCTATTGTTACTCCCTTTTGAGTGTTGGGTAGTGTAGAGTTGTGGTAGGATGTGATGTGTATGTGTGGGTGGTCTGTGTGGTGTGATATCTGCGTGGTGTGATGTCTGCAGGGGTGGTGTGTGTTTGTGTGTGTTAATGGGTGGAGTCTTCTTGTGGATCGTGTTGATGTGGTGTGTTGGCGCTCAGTGGCGCGTATGGAGGGGGGAGGCGTAACTCATCTAGCCATCCCGGCCCCCCTAGGCGAATTTTAGCCTAGCAACCGCTGGAGTTGCTGCAGCGTGGCAACAACGCTGCTGAGGCCAGTGGAGCGGCGGTATGTTGGCCTGGGCTGCCGACGCCGCGTTGATGCCTCCTGTCGTCTCGGTCTGGATGGAGGTGGAACTGCCTGTCTTCGGTGGTGCTCCGGATGGCTGCTCTGCTGCGATCTGCGGCTTGGGGCGAGTTTTCGCCCGACGGCCCGCTTTGGGGTGCGGTGCAGCATAGTATGGTGCTGTCTATGGCACAGCTGGCAGAGCGTAACCGACGTACACTCCGGAGTCGTGTGGATCGTAGACAAACAGTTGAGGCAGTGCCCGTGGGCAACCTGCTGACGTTGTGGTGGCTGCATGCTTCGGAAAATGCTGCAGTGTTGCAGCCGGTGTGTGCGTCGACACAGTGGGCATCGGCTGTGTTGAGGTACCGTTGCCGGTGCTGATGAAGGTGGTAGTAGTCGCGGGCCATTACGGGGAGCGGTTGCAGGGACGATTGCCGCTGCGGTTCGTGGTGTTGCAGTTGCCCCAGGGCGCGGCACATTGATGGCGGACCTCACAGCTGGCGTTGGTGTTGCTGCCATATCTACTTCCATATTGATCTGTATGAAGAAGTTGGAATGATTATACATTTGTGGCATGTAAATTTATGGCGAATGTGCCACGGTGTGTGGCAGGAGTGGATCGTCAATTTGATCGATCATTGCGGTTAGAATGTTTGGTTTATAACGGTTTTGTGATTTGCGGGTTTATTGGTTAGTTCTACGACTAATTCATTTGCGTCGCGGTAATATCGGCGGATTGGTTGTTATTTGCGGTTTTGTCATGAGATACGGTTGGCAGAAAACATAATTTCACGAGCGGTCTTGTCAGCGTTCCGCTTTGAGTACGGAGAACGACTACTCGTATATGACCGTCGGAACCGTAATATAATTTTTCTATGCGGCCAAGCCGCCATTCTGGGGGGGGTAGACAATCATCGTGTATGATAACACAGTCTCCAAGCTTTGGTGCCTTTTCTGGAGTTTTCCATCGGTACCTTTTATGAAGGTCCTGAACAAATCGTGGGCAATGCGCATGCCTCATTAGCGCAGACTGCAGCATCCTTGCTGCTCCGATAGTTAAAGATCTATCAAGCAGTTGGTGCACTTTCATACAGACACCGCTCCATATGCAACTAATGGCCTTACGATCTGGTGTACATGACTGATGATGCTGGCTCAGCCCAGGATCTCAGCTATGACGTCTGACCATGCGCAGACGCGTAAACTTGCGGCGTGTGAAACTTTACCATCATTACAGGCTGAAGCGCTGTAATTCTGTCGCAGAGTGTTCTCAAATTTCCTTCTGCCAGACTGGCAATGTGTCGTCGGCATACCCGCTGGCGAATTTCATTGATTCGTCAATGCATTTTCAAAGTTTATACATCTGCCACGAAGCTCCATGAAAGGGCGGCAATGCCGCCGTGAGGAGCAACCTCTGGTAGTACAAGTATCTTGCTCACCTTACACCGTGTTTTAACACATCCTCATGGTATGCATACAGCCTCTATCCTGATCTCAGCGGGCTTACACTCTTCTCAGTGCTCAGATCTACCTGCGTGAACGCATATCAAAAGCACGCTTAATATCGTAGATGGCACATATCATAGCGCTCATTGTACTCATGGCAATTCTGGATTGACAACCGTTGGTTGGTACGAGATGTCTAATGACTGCCTGCTCTACAAGTGATACGCGTGCTGTGATTCATGTAAGGTGCGTCGCTCTAGCGTTCGATCTTGATGTGGTTGTCTATATCAACCATACACTTTTGCGCATGAAGGTAAGTATATGGGCCTGAGATTTGGCAAGTAGATGGTCTCCTTTCTGCCTTGGTGCTGAAGGATACACCTTGCCTATTCTCCACGGTGATACGGATATTAGCGGACGGCGCATATCTCATCATAAGGTGCCGCGGTCCTGGTTGCAGTTGCATAATGGGTCGGGTTTCACGCTGTCAATCCCAAGGCGATCTGAGCATGTTGGACCATTGGTGGAATTCAGTTGTCCCAGACTAGATCTACATGAAAGTGCAGCAAACGAGATGCATGCCATCCCGCTTGATCAGATGGTTATCAAATATTTTATGGTCCAATCTGTTCAGTCTACCACTTGCGACCCAGAGCTTACTGTCTGCTGGCTGCCTCTGAAGTTGAGGGACGTTTAAACAGAATTTCCTAAACTGTGGTTTGCAGACCTATTTTATTATTATAAGTGGTTGGTCCTGTTATATTCTTCAATGGCAAAGTTCTGACTTTGTTGAAAGGGAGTGAGGGTGGACGAGATCTCTCTGGAGATTCAGATTACCTTTATTTTCTTGATTCCCGCGGCATCACTCTGGGCCAGAACCCTCGGATTATGGCATACAGGTTTCGAAGGAACTCTCGATAACACACACTCCTCGCGTGGTATTGTGTTCAGAGGACTCGCCATCGCTTCCCTCATTGTCCCATTCAGTGCCTTCAGCCCTTACAGAGCTCCATGGTGGAGGCGCTGCACTTCCTCCGCAGCACTCTGTTTGAGCTCCCCTGTGGCTGAGGTACCCTAACAGCAGGTAGCACCTGCTCAGTATGCCGTTGCCGGACTGGTGGGCGCCTCGCCCGCTGTGCGCACTCCTGCCGTCTCTTTCGCGGTGTGTTTTGAACCTCGAAGTCTCGCGCACACTGCTGAACCTAAAGTTCAGCCTAAACTATGTACGGATTTATGGCCTCATCAATAATGATGTTGAGCCTCCATCCGGCGTCCTCGATGCTGCTATCAACAACCCTCGAAGCCAGTACTGAGCCCCTCATTTTGATTCATGTGGAGGCGGCACAACTCATGCAGGCGCCTCTGCGCTTCTGGGCTATCGCCATGCCCGACGGTATACCGCTCTTCGCACGCTTGCGGGCCTCTCTATCCGCCTGGCTTCGGGCGATCTCCGCAGGTGGCCTCTTTGTCCTTCAGTCGACAAACAGCGCGATACAATCTGGTATGCACCATGAGAGAGCCGGTTATAAACATCGCGCTACTGCGCAACGCGGTGTTTCTCCCGACCCAAGACCTCCGCCGGGTAGTGCGAGATAGCACCGCCATCCGCTGCTTTCGATATTTACGCTGGCGCCTAACAACTGGGTTGGGATTTGGGCGGAACGTTGTCCTCCGATCTGCCGGTAGGGTTCTGTAGATGTTATCTGCTCGCGCACACTTTCGCGGTTTGTCCTGTTACCGTCGTGGTGCCGCCACTCGTTCCTCGATTCCCAGACGGGGTTGCAAGAACTCGGCTTTATCTCTGATTCCGCGCATCAACGATAGACGCGTGCACGTATCTCTTTTGCGGCCGGAGATGAGTTGCCCCTGCTCCTGCTGAAGAAGATCAATACTTCCTCAGTGATTTTCCGTTCTGCACGGTGCCTGATTCTGTTCAAGTGTGCCCTCTCTCGCTCATACTCTCCTGCAGATCATTCTAGTCGGGCATCGCTATTGGTTCTGGGGCATTCTCCCCTCATTTCGATTCCTCTTCTCCTTGTACGCATTCTGACCTGTCCCGTTTGGTGTCGTTTACCTCACAGCTGAGCCGCCATGCGTTATTACGTATTGGCGGTACACAAACCAACTTTATGTCCCTCATCTCCGTTTTCGGGCTGGTGTGCTTAACTATCACGTCCTTCTTTTGGTGTTAATTCCATCCATTTCCCGGATACTCAGTTTCTGGTACTCGCTTTGACTTACAGCTGACTCAAGATTTCATTCTTCATAAAGCACCACTCATTTCCGAATCTCGTTACCCATGTTATTGATGAATGCGTCCGCCACTGGTTACTTCTTGATTAGAAATTTTGTATACTTCTGTGCATTCGTGAAATGCTTACTACAAACATCGATGTTTTCCTAATTTATTGGTGGAAATGGACCATATTCTTCCACGCCAATTACGCACCCGGTGTACTGTTTATCTGGCGGCTCCTGGACCTTGACCCTTCAGCTAAAAGAACTTGCGCCATATTGCGTCCTTTTCACCGCTGATTGACATCAGTCCAGTCACACTTCAATTTTCTGGTTCCGTGATTTCTAAATTGCCGTTCTCTTGGGACCTTTGTACTGCATTAAATTTCAGAATTTCTTTGGAACTATAAGTACTCAGGAGTTTGTACATTTCGCTTCTCTCTCGATGCAACAACCACACTGCTTTAAACTGTCGCTCCCCAATATGCTATTTACTGCTAAGCCTTCCTGTAGATTATTTCTCACTCGTTGTACATTTGATCCTTCTTTACATGCCTGCTGCAATTCCAGACCTTCTTGCAAAGTCATCCGTTTCAGCTGTTATTTTCCTATCTCGCGGCGAGAACACCTGTGCTGGTATAACCGCTGTCACTCTCAAATTGCCGACACCCTTTACTGTTCGAAATGGTTCGCGAATCTTCCTCTGGAGAACATTGCGTTGATATACGCACGTGCAACTTCGCTTGCTCTTCTACTGTAGGAACACTTACTTAGCTGACACCATCTTTCACCCGTAATCTCTCTTCCAGCAGCTTGATAACATCTGTGATATATGCATTTTGGGCTGCAAACTGCTATTTAAACTGTGTCGATATTTTGCGTTGTGCTCCATTGATATCTCGATGACATCTGGGACGAGGAAAATCATATCTATGTCCATAGGTGTTTGATGACGCATCTCTTCTTCTTTTATCTTTGCTGTCTCTTTCTAATTCTTGAAGACATATTCTCAGCAGTAATATTTTCCGCCTGCTGGAACGTGATTGTAATTGAATTTTACTCCATTTGTCGCCAAACCATTGCTCTCATCTTTTCAGTTGTGGAATCTTCAGATTGCTAAACTTAGCCATTTTTCAAATATTTATCTCTTTGAATTTATTGCAAAATTTTCGATATATATATCTACACTTACCCTTGAGTTCGATCACTGGATTGTTAAAATAAAGCTCATTTAATAACCCATAATTCTCTTGTACGATCACTGATTTTAAAATAAAGGTAGTTTAATGCTATACCTTATCTTTGCTTCTAATTCAACTTCCGCACTTAGCTCGTTATTCTAAACACACTCCTTGTTTTGATCTCAGTTAGATCTTAACACGACATCACTCTAACTAGACTGTATCTGTATAAAATCTCCTTTTAGAACATTCTGGCAACTACGAATTCGCTGTCTGGTTGCTTCTGCATATTATCGTCAGTTTAATTTTTCTCATGTTCGTTACAATATATATATATATATGTATATATACTTGTATGCCATCGAGATTACATTAAA